CAATTCCATCTAGATGGCTTGTAGACCCTCGGCTGAGGGACGTCTAACAATTCCATCTAGATGGCTTGTAGACCCTCGGCTGAGGGACGTCTAACAATTCCATCTAGATGGCTTGTAGACCCTCGGCTGAGGGACGTCTAACAATTCCATCTAGATGGCTTGTAGACCCTCGGCTGAGGGACGTCTAACAATTCCATCTAGATGGCTTGTAGACCCTCGGCTGAGGGACGTCTAACAATTCCATCTAGATGGCTTGTAGACCCTCGGCTGAGGGACGTCTAACAATTCCATCTAGATGGCTTGTAGACCCTCGGCTGAGGGACGTCTAACAATTCCATCTAGATGGCTTGTAGACCCTCGGCTGAGGGACGTCTAACAATTCCATCTAGATGGCTTGTAGACCCTCGGCTGAGGGACGTCTGACAATACCATCTAGATGGCTTGAAGAACCTCGGCTGAGGGACGTCTAACAATACCATCTAGATGGCTTGTAGAACCTCCGCTGAGGAACTTCTAAAAATGTCATCTATATGGCCCCTTGAGCCTCGGCTCAGGAACTTCTGACGTTGCCAGTCACGGGGTGAGGGGGAGACCTGTAAGTGATAGTGAGACTGCAGCAGGGAAAGAATGAATCCCCTCCCCTGCTGTACAGGGCTATGCTGAGTGGCAGAGCCGTGTAAATCTGGACTGGATGGACAGAAATACAGGTCCTCTGGCAGGTCTCTCCTCGTATATAATAAGATCCATCAATTTAATAACAAGCAATAAACGGCTTTCTATGGAACACAAAATGCCTTTTCATCCCCGTACATGATACAGATTGGCGCATCAGAAGTGACATTTGCCCGGCAATCTTTGTTTGCGCCTTCAAAGCCGATCCATCGGCTAATTAATTCCCGGTTTATACGCCGCCTGCCGCGTATTAACCCCGTAATTATCATCTTGACATAAGCAGGGGCCCCTGTTGTTTGCATAATTCGGTTACATTGTATAAGAGAAGACAATGAGAAGTGTCGGCGTGTCTCAGATCCTTATTAGTTCTTAAACAGACA